CTATCCTTTGACGTTTCCCCCTGTTCATATCGGCTCATCTGCTGATCACGATGTTTTCTAATATCTCTGTATTCATCAGCCGATATTTGCATCTTTGGGATCAACTGTTACAACTTCTCTCGATTTGGTCGATGTTAGGACCTTAGTTTTTCCTTTGAATAGCCCAACATCAACCATATTTTGATCTCCTAGGAAAGGATTATCATCCACCTTCATCTTCCGAGGTGTATTAAACTTGAGCCTCCCTTGCTGAATAGCCCTTTGTATATGCTGTTGGAAAATTCTGCACTCATTAGTGGAATGAGAAGTAGATTATGGAACTTGCAGAACTTCTTATTTTTCAACTGTTCAGGGGGCAACATAACATGATTGTCCGACAATTTGATCTGGCCCTTCTCAAGTAGGAAGTTAAAGAGGTTGTCCGATTTTGTGACATCAAAGTCATAGCTTTCCTCGACTCATCTTCCCCAAGGATTTGGCACCATTACTGTCTTCTTGCCCCAATTCCATTCAGCTGCAGCAACCTCCTCTTCTTCATCTTCATAGCCGTCATCTGTTGAGTATGGATCGTAAGCTTCGGCTACGGTGGTGCTCTTCTGGAATCGGGTATCTTTGTGCATACTCTGGAATTGGCTATTGAGCGCTGTAACTCGTTGAGTCAATTGACCCAAGTTGTCAAATTTTTGTCCTAGCAGCTTTTGTTTTCACATTGGCAACATTTCTTGGACAGCTAAAGCAGCTAGCTGATCATCGGCCAAGTTCAATGAGAAGTACAAGTTCCTAGTCTCTCGGAATCTCTGAAGAAACTCAATGCCCTATTCATTAGTCCTCTGTCTCATGGTTGTTAAATCGGTTATCTTCTTTTCTCCAGTCCCAAGATAAAAATATGTATGAACCTTCTTTTCTAGGTCAGCCTAACTGGCAATGGAGTTGACTGGTAGTAATGAAAACCAAGTGAAGGCTGGCCCTGACAGGGATAAGGAGAAGAAACGAACTCGATGGACATCCTCAACTGACGCTTCACCCAATTGTGTAAGATACCGACTGACATGTTCTATCGTGCTTGTACTGTCTTGACCAATGAACTTGGCGAACTCTGGGAGCCTGTAATTTGTAGAAAGAGCGACCAAATCATACCATTCTGGATATGGACGTTAGTATGAAAATGTCAGCCCCTTTGGCTTCAGACCGAACTGATTCTTCATCATCTCGGTCACCTTCAGCAGCAACTCGTCAGCTTGCGGATTTGGGTTTCTCGGTACTTGCTGACCCATCTGTGTATTGAAATTCCGCGTGCCTTGATATCCTGGATATGGCATCATGTGGAGGGTGTTATCATCCGTGCCGTAGTGATAGCCTTCTGGAATCTCAATCTGTTGGGTTCTCTGCTGGCTTGTTGCTTGAAGTCTCTGATTATAAACATAAGCATCTATATCTCCACGGATCATTTGAATTGATGGTGCTATTTTTTGAGCTGACGACGGTATGTGGTCTGACGTGCCAAAATTGATCACCTGATTCTGACCTTGCCCCGCTGGCTATTGCACATGTTGTATTGACGGTCCATGATTGTACTGTATCTGATTCATAGTACTACCTGGAGTTTGTTCAGATGAACCTTGAAGTGTATGAACGTCACCATTACCAACTGGTGCTGCTTCTTGATGGCTGGTACTGACTTGATTAGTCCCTTGAGTCGACGGATCTGGAATGTTGTAACAAGTCGATCCAACCTGACCAACTGGGATTCCATAAATCGCCTCTTTCATGGCGTTGTGAAATGCGTCAACGAAAGCTTCATTGCGGCTTGATATGGCATCACGAACAGATTTGTCTATGGCTTCCGTAAAGAAACGTCTGTGTTCAGCTTCGACTGTATCTGTCTGCCCGTGTAGTAGAACTCTTGGTAGTGGAAATTTCTGAATAATTGTGCTGTCACGTGTTTTGGTGTAGGACAACAAACACTTCTTCTGAAATTCTTCCGGACAAACACTTCTTCTGAAATTCTTCCGTAGCCTTGCTGATGGTATCCTTATCTTCATCAGGTAGGTCTTCATAGTGTACCATAAGGATGTTGTCGTTGTTGTGAACCGCCATGACGATTGTGGGGTCCCACCGGGGGTGTAAACGTGTGTCGACACAGAATTTTAGTCTCCGTGTCGAGGACACACGCAGCAAGCCGGAAGGGTCCGCTCGATGGAGTAGATCCGCCTAGTTTCAGCGCAAGGGTGGTCGATCCTGCACAATCCTCCCGAGACGTGCCAGTCAATTTGACCCTGCAATTGACAAGGAGAGAAAACTCATAAGTAATTAAGGGCGGAACGTGCCGGTTTTGCCAGATAGTCCCGAATGTGCGGCTCTGAGAGCCGATATGAGAGGAAATCGACTAAATAGTCGATTCCAGCATATTCATAAGAATAAATCGATGAAAGCTCATGGGGTTGTATAAGAAGAATCGGTTATCATTCAGGATAAATATTATTTAAGCAAATGTTCATCAATGGCAACAAGATATCAATGATGATCGATTTATACTGAGCCAATGATTTTAAGTAACCGAACTTCTTTTTATATAAAGAAAAACAATTCAACATCACTTAACCATTTAATAAAGATAAATCTAATAAACATGTTAGATCTCATCTATTGCGATGACCAGTGGGGCATGAGGCAGAATCATGCAGGCTGTAGAAACAACAATAGACTCGACGACCCTAACTCATTACTAATATCAGTGTGGTATGAGGCAGAATCATGCAGGCCGTAATACAATAATAAGATCATGGGGCTAACATATCTTTCAACTTATCTCTACTTTAATGATCTCGTAATGTGAACTGTTCGTGAAAGCATTCGATATCGGCTAAACAGCCGATTCAGGCATAGTGCACAGTTAAGGTCATGCCTTCTCAGGAACGGGTCTACCAACTAACGATCCCCACTCCACGGTGCCAACAGTGGGGTGAGAGGCAGAATTCCACAGGCCGTGATAACGGGCCATGGAACGGTTTTCATTAACTAATAGATCTACTCAAGATCGGACATGCCTTAACCGCACGTTATGCACGATTAAGATTGACGCAAAACAGCCGATAAAAACATAACTCATCGCTTAAGATGTAGATTAGATCAATTTTAGATTAGCAAACGATGAGTTAAACAAGATATAAGGCCGATCCAGATCAATCTCAATCGGGCAGAGTGATATTGCTGTAATTAGATAAACAATAAAAGCAATAAGCAATATCGGTAACTTAATGAATCTACCAAAAACTGTGATACTAAGGTAGAGCCGATAACTTGACCTTGATCTAATTCAAGCAGTGGGGTGTGAGGCAGAATCACACAGGCCATACTTGAATTAGGCAAGAGTCGATAACTAGCCTATACTAGAGTCGCAGTGGGGGTCGATCGGATCGATGCAGTCATACGAATAGAGGTATAAACCATGACGGTACTTACAGACAAGCAGTGGAGGTCGACCGGATCGATGCAGCCGTACTTGCTGAAGAACTCGCCGGGTTCTACTCTACTCCTACTCCTAAGGGGTGGTCGGAGCCGAAAAAAGTTATTGACTTTGTATTTGATTGATTGTTTTTTACAATAGCCGGGGTTTGTTATTTATACCCGGAGCCTAAAAACGAACCCTACTCGAGTACGACTCAATACAATTCTTTGGTATGAAAGAAATATTCCTATCTTAAGATAACTTGGACCCTAATGTTTCCCCTTTTGTAGAGTCCGATATGTATCTTCTTGGTGCCAATCATATCCTGTCATCGTTATCTGCTAACGTCATTCGAAGAAAATGGATCCAGTATCGCATTCGATCCAGCAGATATCAATCTTTACTCTATCGACTCCTTGATTGGCATAATTCTGGAAGTCTGCGAGTTCCCACGCTCTTCTCCCAAATTTTGGTGTAAACACCTTCCATCACGACCCAACGCTAAGTTCTGCCCTGTCCAAAAAAGTTACTTTTGCTTTGCAGTGCACCTCCCTGACCTTTTACCGCACGTGTTCTCTCTCTCCACCGAGATTCGCATGGTCCTAGGTTCTCCATCGCACGCTTGTGTAGTAGCTTCTGCTATCTGTCAGAACAAGCACTCAGTACCCCTGCAGGGCTACTGTTCAAGTTGATCTGGACATTCAATGCAGACGTGGAGCTCGAAGCTCCCAGCTAGCATGGAGCGTTGAGGCTGGCCTTAGGTAGCTGAAAGATCAAATATCTGTTATGTGGAGGAGATTATACTTCTGTCTTTTCTTCTGTTTACGACCTTAACTTCAATTTTAGGAGCTCTGGTTTTCTGTTCATCTTTTGTAGAATCTATGTAGATCAACACTGAAAATTACATTGTCTTCTCCAGTTTCCCCACTTTTTGGATGGTGGGTTAGTGGGTTTAAAAAATTGTTTGGAGATTGTATGGCAGAATACCATTTAGTCATGAAGAGACTTAGATCATTTGTTTCTTTCTTTAGCAAACTATAAACATGGTCATATCTATATAAACCGTATTTTTGTTCATTTCTTTTTTTGAAAACTTCAAACGGGGGGGTGGATTTCTCCCCACCTGATTTTATTGACTTATAGCTCTTGCAACATGATTACAAAGATGTTTACAAAAGGGGAGGAACTTTGAGCTCAACTATATTACATTTGTCGTAATGTTCAGCGCCTGATTAAGGGTCGAGCACCAAGCCTCAATGACTTTTTTGCTTTTCTTTGGCATTCTCGCTTTCCACTGGATAGCCTCCGCCTTGCAAGATAGCAGCAGGTTTCGGAGGTTGAGGTGTTCATTCCGGAATACCACACCGTTTCTCCTTTTCCAAAGTTGCCAGCAGCATAAGGAGATGAAGGTGCTATACTGATCAACAGGGAGGTTTGGAAGCCTCTGAACGCAGTGCAGTTGGTCTGAAAACTGTGATTTGCCTGTAGCCCAAGTGCTGACCAAAACTGAGTTGCAATTTGGCAGTGGAAGATGATGTGGTCCGGAGTCTCTTCATCCATGCCGCAGACTGAGCAAGTGGGAGAATCCACGATCTTTTTGTGGTAAAGATTTGACTAACACTGAATTCTGCCCTTGATCAGAAGCCAGAGAAACATTTTGAACTCTTGGGGGGGGGGAGGCGGCATTCTTCCAGATGAAGCTGGACGCCGGGTCGCTGTCCTGTCCCTTTGCCTTGAGTAGCCTGTAGATGGTGGCTGTGTCAAGTTTATCCGGGGTTCGGCTGAAAGGGGATAGCCGTTTGTCCGGCTGATCGGAGAGCGTTGTTTGATGGTTGATTTCATTGAGCTGAGTGAGCTCATGCTGTGCTTGAGGAGATAACCGATTTACAAAGGCCCCTTGAAGATTTGATGTGATGGCCTGGTGAACTGTTGATTCCTTTAGTGTGCAATGACTGTAAAGTCTTGGGAAGCGATCATCGAGTGCATCATCTCCGATCCAGACATCGGACCAGAAAAGAGTAGATTGACCATCTTCGATCTGGACTGTCGTCAGCGCCTGGTAGAGCGGTAGCAGGGAGCGTAGAAGCTCCCAATGTCGCCCAAGGTTGTCACACCTCATGTTTGCAATGTCCGCGGTCTGCCTGATTCATGACGCCCATGCCGAGGAGTTTGTACAGTGCAGCCGGTGGATCAGGTTTAGCAGCAGGCAAATGTTCTAGAGTGCCAAGATCCCTGATGCCCAGGCCCCCCAAGTCCTTTGTAGTGCAGACATTTGGCCAGGCAACCAGGCACTTGGCTGCTGATGTCTCCTTGTTGCCTGACCAAAGGAAAGATCGCCTGCGCCTATCTATTTGCTTGATGACTTCCGGTGGAACTTGAGTTGCAGACATTATATATACCAGCTGACTGTCCAGGACCGAGTTGATGAGAACCACTCTGCCCATGCTGTTGAGTACCGAGGCCTGCCAGGATGACAGGAATCTGTCTGTTTTGTCCACATAAGAAGAGAAAGCTGACTGAGGCAACTTAGACGCAGATAGAGGCAGGCCCAAATAGTTCTGAGGGAAGTTTTGCTGGCTGCAACCAATTTCAGCGGTGCATTGGTCGACCAGTGCCTGATCCATGTGAATGGGAACCCACGTGCTTTTACTGAAATTGATGTTCCTGTGGGCTTCAGAGAACTTGTCTAGAATGCACTTTAATTCTTGGACAGCAGCCAGCTCTCCTTTGAGCACAATCAAAGTGTCGTCGGCGTACTGGAGCACCACGCAAGGCGCATCGTCGTCTATGGGGTGTTTGACTATGGTGGCCGTCTGTATCATAGCCTGTAGAGTGTCAGCCACCAGTAGGAAAAGGTACGGTGACAGCGGGTCACCTTGCCTGAGACCACGCTTACAATTTATCCATCTTCCGGGGCATCCATTAACCAACACTGTTGGTTTTGATGATGAAAGGATATCTTGCATCCAGCTGCACCATACTTGCTGGAAACCCCGAGCACCCAAGATGTGGTTCAATCCTTCCCAGTTTACCGTGTCAAAAGCCTTAGCAAAATCTTGTTTTAGAACAAGAGAAGGTAGCTTCCTTTTGTTGCAGGCCTGAACTACTTCTGCAGCAAACACAAATGTCTCAGAAATGGACCGGCCCTGAAGAAAGCCCGTCTGATGCAAGTCGATCATCTTCCCAATTTCTTTCTGCAGCCTTCTTGTGAGAACCTTGGCAAGGATCTTTATGGAGCAGTTTTGCAGGCAGATGGGGCGGAAGGTGTCCACAGCTACTGCTCCTGGCTTCTTCGGTATCATTACCATGTATGATCGGTTTATCCGTTCAAGCTGAGCCTGGCCCTGATGGAAAGCTGCAAGGAAGGCCATCACATCGTGCTTCACTGACCCCCAAGCAGCTCTGTAAAACGACAGCCCAAAACCATCTGGCCCTGGGGCACTGTTCCGATCCATTGATTTCAGAGCTTCTAGGGTCTCCTGCTCAGAGAATGGGGCAGTGAGTTCAGGTGACGGCCGATAGCAATTATGGAACAATGCGGCAACACATAGCTGGCTTTTTTACTTGATTGAAGAAAGTTTAAAGTTAGCTTGTTCTTCACTATAATGACGTACAAAGTAAAGGAAATGGGCTACTGTTCATCCGAGGCTGTCCAATGTCCATCAGTTTATATTATATGAAAGGCTTTGGCGTGTTGTTAGTTGTTATACATAGCATGTTATTGTTGTGTACCAGATCTTCTCTTTCTAACACAACTAATACATCACAACTCAATGAGTAATTTAAAGATCGACTGACCACATGCCTATATCTTGTCTGCATGCAGGTCACTGCTCTTGACGAGCGGTACAAGCTATCTGAAAGCCGTGACTATGAGGTCAAAGTCGCATTCCTCCAGCTGGCGATCCCTACTGGGTGCAAGTGCTACTTCAACGAGGTTGAGAAATGCTTGAAGCAGGTGGGAAGGATGAAGTACCTCCGTCCGCTCTACAGCTCACTGGCCAAGTGCTCCAGCGAGGAGAAGATGCTGGCCCAGAGGATCTTCTCGGAGGCTCAAGAGTTCTACCACCCAATAGCTCGCAGTGTCGCGGAGTCCATTTTGTCGAAGCATAGCTAAGCAGGCCAAGACTCTTGTTTAGCAAATCCATCGCTCACGGCCTCACCCGATTCACGGTTGGGAGCAACTGAGATCTGGTGATTGCTCAGTTGCTTGTTTCGCATAAAATTATCGTCTGCCCTGGAACTAACTTAGGAAAAACTTGAGACTTGTATTGCATCTTGATAATATTATAATATGTGGGGACTCAGAACCGTAGTACCTGAGTAATGTATGTTCTGGGGTTTTGCTTATGCTTAAATGTTCTGGGATTGCAAGGCTACTCCTTCCATGCAGCTTGGGAATGATGTGAAATGGGCTATTGACGAAGTGATCATTGTGTACTGTGCTTCACCCTGCAATGCTGCACCTTTTTAAACCAGAAACAGTATCTTGTGAATGAATGTGTAAAAGTGGCATGTTGGTTCAGGCAAAAACAAAAGGAAGCCAAAAAAAGATTCCGTTGCCGGGACTCGAACCCGGGTCTATTGACGAAGTGATCATTGTGTACTGTGCTTCACCCTGCAATGCTGCACCTTTTTAAACCAGAAACAGTATCTTGTGAATGAATGTGTAAAAGTGGCATGTTGGTTCAGACAAAAACAAAAGGAAGCCAAAAAAAAGATTCCGTTGCCGGGACTCGAACCCGGGTCTCTCGGGTGAGAGCCGAGTATCCTAACCAGCTAGACTACAACGGATGTTGATGCATGCTTCCATGTAAAGCTATATGACGTATAAAACAAATAACGGTAAAGGTCACGGTCAGAGTTAGGAAGTAGTGAAGTAGAAGTTTTTAGTTCGTTTAAGCTTTTTTATCACTCGTCTTATTTAAAAATTTATACTAAATATCATTTCTTTTGTTGTGGCTTGCTTTATTAACAAAAGTTCTTCAAAAATGACTTAAATTTGATTATGTTTGTATAAATTTTTGGGTAAAGTTTAATTTACACCCTCCAACTTTTCACCGAAGTTCGGATTTCAACCTCAAACTTTAAAACCGGATAACTTTGGCCCTCCAACTCTGGAAACCGTTCAACTTTCAACCTTCTGGGCGGTTTTACGGGTAAACAGTAACTTTTGATATTTTCGGGAGGCGTCGAAATTTTATATTATTTTTTCGAGCATCTTAACGTCCTCAAATGAAAAAACTCAAAACTACAAAGTTGTATATCTCGTCGAGGTCTATAATTTACATATAAAAATTATCTTCATCCGACTTCGTATTGAAGGGTTTTCTATTTTTTGAAATTTGAGTCTCATCACACGATAAAATATGGTGCTGAAATTTTATATTATTTTTTCTAGCATCTTACTGTCCTCAAATGAAAAAACTCAAAACTACAAAGTTGTAGATCTCGTCGAGGTCTACAATTTACGTATAAAAATTATCTTCATCCGACATCGTATTGAAGGGTTTTCTATTTTTTGAAATTTGAGTCTCATCACGAGATATACAACTTTATAGTTTTGAGTTTTTTCATTTGAGGACGTTAAGATGCTCGAAAAAATAATATAAAATTTCAGCGCCTCCTGAAAATATCAAAAGTTATTGTTCACCCGCAAAACCGCACAGGCTAAAAGTTAAACGGTTTTCAGAGTTGGAGGACCAAAGTTATCCGGTTTTGAAGTTTGAGGTTGAAATTTGGACTTTGGTGAAAGTTGGAGGGTGTAAATTGGACTTTACCCTAATTTTTTTTGAATAAGACGAGCGATCAAACTTGAGGTCAAAAGTCAAACGAATTATAATTTAGAACGAATAGAGTACTTATCTATCCGGGTGTCCGTTCAAACGTTGTCGCCTCATGTCAGACGGAATTCTGACTTAGGTAATCAGTCTGTTCGCATGTTGATTTCAGCCAGGGCTTATCAGTCAGTCAACAGTGTTTTTCTCTCATAACAAACCAGCATCAACCAAGCTTATCAAAAAAAAAAAAAACCCAACCAGCGAACAGGATGAATGTGTGCACAACGAGACCGATCCCGCTGTTTCTGCCGACTCGTGGGCCGGGTGACATCTGCTAGCTTCGGCAGAAAATGTGGCGAGAAGTTTGGGCGCGCGCGTCCCCCTAACTTCACGTACAACCACATCACGAAATTCTAAAAATAGCATATTTCGCCGAGAAGCATGCTTGCTGCACATATATCTCTTTCCAATCCGACCGTTGTTCGCCATTGCCGCCGACGCCGTTTCGTCCCCGGAAGCTCTCCCTGGTCACCAAGCTCCAACAGGTAACCTGTCTTGTGGTTGTTGAGGCTTGAGAGGAGCTAGGCGGCATGGGGGGCGGGAAGGACAGCCACGATCCCTCGAACGCGGACAAGGGATTCCACGGAGGGTACCCGGGTGGATACGGCCAGTACCCCGCCGGCTACCCAGCTCCTCCACCGGGCGGCGCATACCCTCCCGGCCCCGGACAAGGGTATCCGGTGCCACCTGGTGGGTACCAGCCTCCGGGTGGCTACCCTCAACCTGGCGGGTATCCGCCGTCGCACGGTGCGTACCCTCCGGGTGCAGGCGCCTATCCTCCCAGCGGATACCCCCATCAGCCGGTCTACCCACAGGCTGGTTATCCTGGTCACGGTCCACCGATGGCTGGTAATGTCCATTAATTCATCTCTTTATTAGTAATTAATTAACTTGGTTGTTTAGGCTTTGGCATTGTTGTTTTTAGTATATATAAGAGACGTTGGATAGCAATAACATTCATTAGTGTAATTAGTACAAGTTATTTCATATATAACAATACATTTTCTATTGAACGATTCAGGGACAAGTCAGATCCCCACCTACAAATGCTACAGAAACATATGTACATTGTTCATTATACTCCATTGTGGCCGCAGAATTAATCCAGGGCAGAAACATATATACATTGTAAAATGATACTCCGTTGATACTCCTTCACATTTTGTATGATATTCATAGCGTCATCTTATCTACTGGAGTGATACGATTCAAACCATTACAATAAATTTGGCAGGTCATGGTGCTATGTATGGAGGAGGCCACGGTGCAGGGGGTTCTGGAGGCTTCGGGGCGATGTTGGCCGGAGGTGCCGCCGCCGCAGCGGCGGCGTATGGAGCTCACAAGGTGTCCCACGGAGGCGGCCACGGGATGTATGGCCACGGCAAGTTCAAGCATGGCAAGTTCAAGCACGGCAAGTTTGGCAAGCACAAGAACAAGAAGATGTTCGGCCGCAAGTGGAAGTGATGAATGAACGGGGTAGATGAAACTAGTAGTATATATATACGGGATATATATACAAACCACAGCTACCGCAATTGACGGCTTAATTAGATTCTTGATCAGCAAACATATATCGAATCCCGGCCGGTTATGCTAATTTGATATGAATATGGGAAGTGATTCCCTAATAGTTTGTACGGATGTTGGCAGTCTGAATTTAAGCATCGAATGCGTGTTTGGCGCAAAGCAGAGCTGGTTGGCGTCTTCCTTCGCCCCGGCAGCAGACTAGCAGGTCTATCGAGCAGCAGCTTCGGTGCCCGAAAATGTAGTATTACTAGCGGTAGCAGACTACTAAAGCTAGCTGCTAAGCAAACGGCCCAGCGCTGCGCCTCGTGCTTCAACACATGTTAGTAGATATATAGGAGTAGAATAGAAAGGTTTTATAGTACAATATATACACTGTCATGAACTCATGATAAAGCCTGGCTTCGGTCCTGCATTGAGCTCATGCTTGATCACTGCATTGGTCAATGCAGATGGTGTAGATCACTGCATTGGTATTGGTACATTTTTCAATTTCTTGGAGTGAATACTGTGAGGTGTTTAGCCTCGGCCTTCAGCCAATAATTATCAATATCCTAGAGTGTATATTGTGAGAGGTGCTCTTGATTACCTAGAAAGACTGTTCAGGTTCCTTTTGTGTATATTACATGGGGGCAGTGGCGAAGGTAGAGGGAAATGGAGGGGGGTGCAAGAATAAAGATGCCACTGCTGGTTTGGGAAGTTGGGCCGTGGGGGGTGCAGCTTGTTGGCCCAAGGGGGGTGCATAAAGGGCCAAGATGTGGGGGTAAGTGCACTGATTATTTTTTTTGGGGGGGGGGGGTTCATCTGCACCCACTGGGCCTTACTGGGCTTCGCCCCTGCATGGGGCATATTTTGCCATGTTGGTGGTACCCAAACACACTTTGCGCGTGGAAGTACTTTGTGTGGCAAGCATTCGGAGAAAGAATGACATAGTACTAATTTTTTTGAGCAGCTGTGACACTTTCATTATAGTTTAGGAAAGCAAAAACAGTTTATATGCAATTCCAACAACAAGGAAATAAAGAAACCAACCAAGAAAACAGACATAGTACTAGATATTAATTGACAAATATAGTGTTTAGCAAGAGACGCACGCGCTCTCTGCAATTACACATCCATCTCTCAGTTCATGGAGAAGGTGTCCACTTATACAATTTACTAAACTTACTACACTTATACAGCTTATCAAAATCCTGATCCTCATTCTCGCGGGCAGTCCACGTTCCATCTCCGAGCAGCGTATGCACAAAATAATGCATCCTGCTGTCTTGTACTTCTTCTTCAATGAAGTACAAGTTGAAGCTCACGGTCACACTTTGAAGATCTGTGGCGCTTGCGAGCACGAACTGCAAGAAGTGGAGTTCGCAGCCAGTTCCTGTCATTCCCCTAAAATCTGCTTCGCGGAGGTTAGCTAAAGAGATATTGCTTGATTCCCAGTTGTCTGAATGATTGCAGGTGAAATTGAAAGCTTCATCATCTTCTGAGTCATGTTCATCCTGTTGCAGCATGGAGATCGATATGATTTAGTGAGATGAAAACACTGGATAAAAACTAATAATATATAAAAAGCTGCAGGCTTTCTTAATTTGGCGTTAGGATAATGTGCTGCTCACAGTCTTGAAGCCCATATATGGTGAATCGTCTAGCTTTAGACTGAGATATTCGAGATTCTTGAATCTTGTGAGGAGACTTGCGACGCCATCTCCAAAGGAATGTCGCTGACATTCCACATCAATGCTAACCAACAAAGATGTGACGTTAGGAAGCTGTGGTATGTTATTTTTGATCAAGTCAATGTGACGTTCTTCAACCTGACGATCAAATCAAGGGTCAGGAAAAAAACAGATGCAAAGCCAACAAAAAGAAAGAGTGTGAAACAAACAGAATATAGTGCCGCAGTCTCACAAGACATATAAGTACCCATGGAACGTAGAGATGCACGAGCAGGCATCACAATGATGAGCTACAACGCTTCAGGAAGCAGATATTACTACTATTTTCATCGTCATCGTCGTTGTCGTCCTCCCCCTTCTGGGTTATCAAGTCAATCTTTAAGCGCCACACGCACGGCAAGGGGCCATGGATGAGGCCTCTGTTCGGGGAATAAGTGAGCTCCTTAAGCCCTGGCGCTGAAACCATGAGCGACTTGAGATCCCCGCACTCGTTGATCTTAAGATATAGGAGCTTCGGGGTCGTCAGTTCCAGCAACTCCATATCATCGACAGCCTCCATGGACAGCTCCAACAGTTCGCCGGCATCGAGCACCAGCTCCATGGTCCAAGCGCACTCGAAGTTGATATACATCATGCTCAGCTTCTGCAAACTTGGGCAGCACATCGATGACGAGAGGCGAGCAAGAAGATGGCCACTGCCCGCTGCTAACTCCACGAATTCGAGCGTGAGGTACTTGAGTGATGTGAACACCGCGGTGCGTGGGAGTCGGACCTCTGCGCGGTTTAACCCCAAATGCATGCACTCCAGCTTTGGGGAGCTAGGAAGAAGCTCATCGAGATCCATTAGAGGCGTCTGTTAGATGATCTCCACCTGCCAATCGGGCGTCCAATCCTACATGTTGGTGGGCCCCCGTCACACTGCGCTATAAAAATAAAGGTGGGGGCGGTGGCTCTTTTCACGAGGTTCACCGTGAGCAGCCATAGTCGCCCCACCAACAGACCCTAATCCGATCTAGAGGACGCGCAGCCAGTGACAGGAAGCTCCATTGCCTCGCCGCCACCAGACTTCACTGCTACATCGCCACCGCCTTCACCGACTCAGACCGCACCACCGCCATCGCCATGGACGGCTCCAGTAGCTCCTCCGCCAAGCCCTCTGACGGTCAGAGACCACTGCCCCTCTCCTTTCTCCTTCACCTAGATCTCGTAGTTCATATTCTAGAGTTTGTTCATCATGTTCTAGTCAAGTTGTACCCGCTAGATCTATGCCTAGTTGATCCTACAGTCCTAACAATGGTATCAGTTCGCCGGATCTAGCTGTAGATCTAGTTTTGGCGTAGTACGGTAGAAGCAATTAGAAGGAGATGACACGAATTTCTTATTCGGAAGAAAAGCAAATCCCGATCGAAACCCTAACCCTAACCCTAGAAACGGATCGGACGAAGGGGGAGAGGATCTACCTGGACTTTTCCCGGCGCATCACCACCGCCGTCGCGTGGGTTGAATCCTGCCGCCGCGCGGGAAGGAGCTCCGCCGCCGCCTCGCCGGCACGTGGGGAGAAACCGAGCCGCGCTCGCCGCCTTGCGCGCGAGCCCGGCCGAGGGCACCGTCACAGGACCGCTCGACGGCGGCGCGCTCGCCGGCGAGGGGACCCACGGCGATGCCGGTCAGATCTAGGGTTTAGGGAGAACCTCACCGCAATGCGTGTGGGGGATCAGGGCACCGCCGCCTAGACCACTCGACGACGGCGCGCTCACCCGCTGGGGAGCGCGCGCGTCGCGAGGGGGCCGGCGACGGCGCCATCACCTTTCGCCTTCGCTCGGTGCTTGCCGCTCGCTGCGCTGAGAGAGGAAGGGAGGGAGTCAAATGAGTTAGGGTTTGGGGGCATGGCCGGCCGGGGGTTTTGATCTCCCAAAAACGATGCCTGGCCATCGGATCTGGATGGACGGCTGAGAGCGCGTCGGACCAGAATCGGCCCAGGCGGGGAGGCGCTTTCGGCCCAGCCAAAGTTGCGGCCTAAGGCGCGGGAGGCACCGTGAGCTGTGGCGCGGCGTGAGCCCACCGCTGCTCGGACGGACGATGCATCGTTGTTGTTGGGCTTTTTTTCCGCTGCTGCAGGCCGGGCCAAAATGAATAGCAAATAACGTTTGAAGTTTATTTATTTTCAGAAGCAGATTTGAATGAATTTTGATAAATTTCGAAGATTTAAAATTTCTAGTAAAATTGCACCAACGTGTTACTTCTTTCAGAAAGTAGATATGAATAAGAAAATGCTTTTGAAAAGTAGATAATTATTATTTATTCATGTTTTCATTACGAAGTTAAAGTTTATTATCTTCTAATTAAATTCGAACCAACGGGAGGATTTAATTTTGAGGAGTAGTTATAATTTTTAGTAAATTTATGATTTTGTTATTTTCTGACCAAAGTTGTTGATAGCAATATTATAAATGTTTGATTTTTCATGAGTTTTTCCATGCATTAATTATATTTCTGTCCAACGGTGATGTAGAATTAGTGTAGAAGAATGTTGTATATTTTAATTTAGACCAACGTTAAATTAAGGCATGTAATTATTATGTCATATTTTCTCACTATCTTCGACGGTGTTTTTCAGGACTTAACTTATGGCATTTATCTCGCACATACCGCCTCTTGAAGGGGTCAACTATCGGGTATGGCGAGAGAAGTATGAATTAGCACTTGTGTTGTAAAAATGACTTGGCGTTTACCTCTCCGTGTCCTGAGCCAGTGGACCCGGTGAGGGAAGAAAATGAGATTGGTGCTGGTTTCACTGCTCGACAGCGAGATCATGCAGAAGTAAGGATGAAATATGATCTCGAACGTAAGAAATGAGACATCTCGAACCGCAAGTGCTTGATGGTGGCCAAGTCCACTATCTCAGATGCTATAAGAGGATCAATCCTAGATTGTGATACCGCCACCGAGTATCTCAAGAAAGTGGAGAGTTAGTTTACTGACTCTTCAAAGGCTTATGCAAGCACCTTGATAAAGAAACTATTCAATGAGAAATACTCTGGTGGAGGTATAAAAGAACACATATTGAAGATGAGCAACACGGCTTCGAAGCTAAAGCCAATGGATTTGGGGCTCAAGGATGAGTTCCTAATTTATTTGGTTTTTGCTTCCTTTCCAAAGAAATATGAAACTTTTGTTGTTAACTACAACATACAGCACAATAAGTGGGACATAGAGAAGCTCATCGCAATGTGCGTTCAATAAGAGGAGAGGCTGAAATCCTTATAGGATGACTCTGCTAACCTTGTGAAGGACAAGAAAAAGAACTTCGATAAGAATGCCAAACCTCAAGGGAAAGCCCCTCAGACTGAGCATCATCAGAAGAACAACAATGCTCAAGTTGAAAAGGATCAGTGCAAATGGTGCAAGAAGCATGGACACTTCTAGAGGGACTATTCAGACTTCCTGAAGAACCTTCTGAAGAGAGGTGAGGATTTCATTACATTCATAGATGAATTCTTATATTTAAGTTATGCAAAATCTACTTGGTGGATTGATTCAGGTGCAATTGTTCATGTTGCAAATTCATTACAGGGATTCCATATGAGGAGGACCCTGCAAAGAGGAGAAAGAAGAATTAAAGTAGCAAATGGAGTTGAAGCTGAAGTTGAAGCCATTGAAGATCTTTCTCTAGAACTAGTTAATGGTTTTCTACTTAAACTTTTAGATGTTCTATTTGTACCCTCTTTGCGAAGAAACTTAATAAGTGTTTCACGTTTAGATGACGATGGATATGATTGCTATTTTAGTAATGGCAAATCTCAGATTGTTTATAATAATAAATGTGTTGGTCTTGCCTTCCGACAAGACAAGCTTTATTTATTATCACTTTCTGAGAATATAAATGATGTAAGTACTAACAATGAGAATGCTTCCTCGTCTATGAATGCAACAAATAAGCGGAAGAGAGTACATGATGTATCTTCGAAATTATGGCACTGTCGTTTAGGCCATATTTCAAGGGGGAAGAATAGAGCGATTGATTAAGAAATCAATTCTTCCACCTTTAGAATTTTTAGATTTAGAACAATGCATAAATTGCATAAAAGGAAAGTATGTTAAGAAAATAAAGAAAGATGCCAAACGGAGCGTAGAAATTTTAGAAATAGTTCATACAGATATATGTAGTCCTTTTCCTGTGAAGAGTATGGATGGTTATGATTCATTTATAACATTCACAGATGACTATTCTCGTTTTGGCTATATTTATCCAATTAAACAAAGGTCGGAAGCATTGGATAAATTTAAGATATTCAAGGCTGAAGTTGAAAATCAGCATAATTTAAAGATTAAGGTAGTAAGGTCCGACCGTTGGGGAGGGTACTACGGTCGACACACCCCATATGGCCAAGTTCCTGGACCCTTTGTAAGGTACTTACAGGAAAATGGCATAGTAGCCTAGTATTCTACACCGGACGAGCCTTAGCAGAATGGAGTAGTTGAAAGACGCAACTGTACCTTAATGAATATGGTGAGAAGCATGATAAGTTACTCTATCTTACCGATAAGTTTATGGATGGAGGCGTTAAAAATCGCCATTCATTTTCTTAATCAAGTGCCAAGTAAGTCGGTGCCCAAAACACCGTATGAGTTATGGACAGGAAAGGAACCCTCACTAAACTATTTATGTGTGTGGGGTTGTCCAGCTGAGGCAAAAGTATTTAACCCAAACATAGGAAAGTTGAACTCTAAGACAGTCAGCTGTCATTTCATTGGCTATCTAGAAAAGTCAAAAAGTTATCGCTTCTATCATCCTGACAGACAAACGAAGTTTATAGAAACAAGACATGATGTCTTCTTGGAGGATGATATGATCGGGGGGAGCATGGTAGCGCGAGAAATTAGTTTTGAAGAGAAGCGAGTATACGTGCCCACTCCCATGGTTCAGGAGCCATTCTTCACGCTACCTGTTGTTGCTGTACCAACATTGTAAAACACTGTAGTAACAACACCTGTTGTTAGTTCTCCTGTGGCAACAATGAATGAACATGAGGAACCTGTCGTTCAGGATCCCACAGAACCCGTTGTCACACATGAGGAAGAGCAACAACAACCTCATATAGAACAAGCGTCAACTAATGGGGCCCCTAGAAGGTCTCAAAAAGTCAGGATATCAGCCATTGCTGATGACTACGAAGTCTATGATTGTGAGGAATTTCAAATGGAGAATAATCCCACCTCATTTGAAGAAGCCATGAGAAGCGCTCATTCATCAAAGTGGCTTGAAGCCATGCAAGATGAAATGAGATCAATGAATACCAACGGTGTTTGGGACTTAGAAGCAATTTCTAAAGGAGCCAAGATAGTAGGCTGTAAATGGGTCTATAAAACTAAACATGACTCCAAAGGGAATATAGAAAGATTAAAAAAGCGATTTGTGGTGAAAGGTTTCACGCAAAGAGAAGGCATAGATTACAATGACACATTTTATCTAGTCTCATGTAAGGATTCTTTTAGAATTATAATGGTGCTTGTAGCACATTACGATTTGGAATTACATCAGATAGATGTAAAGATGGCGTTCCTAAACGGGGATTTGGAGGAAAATATTTACATGGCACAACCTAAAGATTTTGTTGTGGAAGAAAAAGAACGTATGGGATGCCGCCTGAAGAAATCCATTTACGGGTTAAAACAAGCATCAAGACAGTGGTACTTAAAGTTTGATAGTACAATAAGAAAGTTTGGGTTTCAAGAAAATATAGAAGACAACTACGTGTATGCAAAGTTCAAGAATGGAAAATACATTTTTCTAATCATGTATGTGGATGACATCTTGCTCGCTAGCAGTCATGTTAATCTACTACTAGAAACGAAGAAGTTCTTGTCCTTGAAGTTTGATATGAAGGATCTCGGTGAAGCTTTGTTCGTTCTAGGAATAGAGATTCACCGAGATAGAGAAAAGGGGGTTTTAGAATTATCACAAAAGGCATACTTAGAAAAAGTTCTAAAGAAATACAGTATACAAAACTATAAGCCTTCATCTGCTCTCATAGTCAAGGGCGATAGATATGGGAAATTTCAATGTCCCAGGAACCAATATGAGATCGATCAAATATAAGCGGTTCCATATGCTTCAACTGTTGAAAGTTTACAGTATGCTCAAGTGTGTACATGCCCTAACTTAGCATTTGTTACTGGGTTACTTGGTAAATATCAGAGTAATCCAGAAATAGAACACTGGAGACTAGTAAAGAAAGTTTTGCGTTACTTGCAAGGTACAAAAGATCTCATGCTAACGTACAGAATATTTGATTCCCTACACATAGAGGGGTATATAGATTTATATTATGTGAGAGATGATAGAAAGTCCACGTCAGGGTACATATTCACTCTCGCAGGAGGAGCTGTATCGTGGAAAAGCTCAAAGCAAACCACCACTACATCGTCTACGATGTATGCCGAGTTTGTAGCATGTTATGAGACCACAGGGCAGGTGAATTGGCTGAAGAAATTCATACCCGGGTTGAAAGTGGTAAACGACATACATAAGCCACTCAAGTTATACTACGATAATAATCCAGCAGTATGTTATGCTCACAACAATAAGTCAAGTGGTGCTGCCAACACATTGACATAAAGTATTATATTGTGAAAGACAAAGTCCAGGATCATATAATTAGTCTTGAGCATATAAGTACAGAAAAAATGCTCATGGATCCGCTTACTAAAGGCTTACCACCCAATGTGTTCAGAGAACACTTAGCCGGTATGGGTTTAAGGGAAAGCCTATGATTCCTGGACAATAAGGGCCTAGTTGAGAATCTGTTTCAAAATAGAGAGGTGCATTATAGCTGTTAAATCTAATGGCAACTGACCGTGACGATGAGACATGCTCTATGCACTGATCTGTGATGGAATGGGAACAAGATAAAGTAAGTAAGTTGAGTTTAAGTAATAAGCTGAGATCAAGTGGGATAATTTTAGATGATCTCCACCAATTGGCCCAACGGCCAATTGGGCCCTTAGATCCGCGCCCTGATCGGAGGCGCCCAACCCTACATCGTTGGTGGCCCCCCATCACACTATGCTATAAAAATAGAGGTGGGGGCCGGTGGCTCTTTTCACGAGGTTCATCGTGAGCAGCCACAGTCGCCCCACCAACAGACCCTAATCCGATCTAGAGGGTGCGCGGCCAGTGACTAGAAGCTCCATTGCCTCGCCGCCACCGGACTGCGTCACCGGACTTCACTGCTACATCGCCACCGCCTTCACCGACTCGGACCACACCACCGCCATCGCCAAGGATGGCTCCAGTAGCTCCTCCGCCAAGCCCTCTGACAGTCAGAGACCGCTGCCCCTCTCCTTTCTCCTTCACCTAGATCTCGTAGTTCATGTTTTAGGGTTTGTTCATCATGTTCTAGTCAAGTTGTACCCGCTAGATCTATGCCTAGTTGATCCTACAGTCCTAACAGCGTCTTATTGACTAGTGGCAGGCGAAGGTTGAACTAGAAACCCTTCACTTGGTGGTGCATGGCGTAACGAATCCACGCCTTCGCTGCTTCCATGGCCAGCCACTAGCGTTGCTGTCTTTGGCCAAGAAGGAGAAAAGAGTGCGCGTCCAATAACAACGGGATCTTCACTTTGTCGATGCGGGCTTCCGATGTCACACCCGCTCACTGCTCTAGTACGCTGTTGACGATGGCGATGTACCATCGGACGTTGTCGGTAGACTCGAGCTCCGGCCACCCAAAGAAATCCAAGACGGGTAAGCGCTTCCGGAGGCCACGCCACTGCTTCAACAGCACGCTCATGCGCACCAGCTCCCTCATGTTGAGGTGCGCCAAGCTGACGATGAGCTCGCACAAGTCATTGTCTAAGGCGTTGATCCGATCATCGCTGCCGGTGCTATCAGTTGTTGGGCTTGACAGTGGCATTGTTCGCTTTGCCTTCTTATTCATGGACTCTATGGCTACCGAATGGGGAAACAAGCAGGGAACTGTCTCATCAACATGCTATGGTGGAGAGGTACTGGTATCACTAGTGCTTTCTACACTAGATCTAGTAGAAGAAGCATCCAAATTAGTGAGACCAGACCTAGGAGAAATACCAGTGTTGCTAACCTTAGATGCCACTGAACTATCATTTCTCTCATATCCATCTTTGGCAATGACCTCCACAGCAATGTGAGCCACCCTTTCATCCCATTTGTCCTTCATCATTACCTGCCATTGATCATCCCTTCTAATTTTCCATTCAGAGCTAGTATCAGTGTCCAAAACCCAAATTGACAATGTCTTGCTAGGTCCCCAGATAATCTTTCTAGCAACATCATCATAGAACTGAGCTAGATTGTACCCAATGCTCCTATCAGCCACAACTCATGCTCTTGCTCAGCCATTTCTACCAAACCACCATACTCAACATCAGCGGTATACTTAGCAACTTTAAGAACCAATCTAAATGCATTGCCAGGTTCAATCCAGCCATGAATGTAAACATTCCACAATTAGACATACACCCAGCCCATGCAATCTGTTACCCGTATTGGCGAGAATATGACTTACCAAGGGAGGCAGCTGGCAGGATCCATGCTCACGGGTCCGAATCGAGCGCGTACTACATCAGCCGCCTACATATGAATAGCAAACAAACGAATTCAGGTCAAGAATGCTGAATCCCCCCAAATCCCCATCGAACCCTAATCTTGGTTCGCCAATGCTGCATGCATAATACGGGGCAATGGCGTCACTAACCTTCCTTGCGTCGTCAGGAGCGCCTGTGGGAACTACGGATCTGTCGGGTTGGAATGAGCACAGAGCGTCGTCATCACCAGAGGTCAGAGTCACCGCGAAGCGAGAGGAGAACGGGGAAGAGGGAGAAAATTGGTGGGGAATGAGCGGAATGAACTGAGCGAGGGGGGCCCAGAAGACAGGATAAAGTGGCAGGGGCAGCAATGTCTTTTCCCCTGCCCGATCCATGCTGGCAAGCTGATCTGGACTGCCACGACGCCAAAAGTGGCAAAAAAGATACACTGAGAACTATTCATGTGGCAAATGTGTAATTGCCATACTAAAATTGGCAACTGGATGAGTACTTCTCGCAACTATGGCAAAAATTTAATTTCCCCCTATTTGGAAATTGGGGGAAACCCAAACGACTTGTGCAGCACCTGAAGGGAGTCTGGTGCGGTCATTTACAGGGTTAGGGACTGGTCTGGGTTGTCATTCATTATTGGGCCACTTTGTAACAGTTTGGTTTTCAAGCTGCCCATTTTTTTAAATGTGGTTTTTTAAACTTGATGAGGTGAGCGCGGGGGGGGGGGTTTACCCGGGTCGACCCAGTACCCTGGTCACCCCCGGACAAGGGTGTTCAGTCCCACCTGGTGCAATAACATTAGATCATTGCATTGGTACTAGAGTGTATATTGCGAGATGTGCACTTGATTAGGGTGAGAGGTTTAGCATCGGCCTTCAGCCAATAATTATCAATATCCATATCCTAGAGTATACATTGTGAGAGGTGCTCTTGATTAGCTAGGGGATTATGGAGTTAGGGGGAGGCTTAAATCCATAATGCCACATGGGGACGTTTGTAAGGGCAAGATAAGTTTCCAAAGATGTTTACATGTGGTATCTTTTAGCATCATATAACCTTGCCCTTTGCATTACATCCTAGCAAGTAAATAGTTTTTAAAATCCAAAATTTTATTATTTGCTTGCTTTGGTCGTGTTGTCATCAATCACCAAAAAGAGAGAGATTGTAAGAAAAATGGACCCTAGGCCTATTTACTTTGGATTTTAGTGTTTGATGACTAACACAACCAAATTGGACTAATAAGTTTGCAAGTAATTGTTTTGTAGTTCAATTGAGTGCAAGACATGACTTGGACGAAGGCGACATGATGATCCTACTTTTAGCCACATATTCAGATAAAAGTATGATGACATGTTAGAGTAGAAGTTATCATACCAGAGAAGTCAAATGAGAACCATTATCCTCTCCGAAATTTATAGTTTTATAGTAGTTAAACAACAACTGTGATATATCTGCGACCTAGGCCAGGTGAAATGTTAATAAGCACCAAAATATCCGTGACCTAGAATAGGTGATCACTGATCATTCCTAACAAACAAATGCAATGAAAGACAACAACATAGTCTAGAAATTAATAACAGACAACTAAGAGCAAACAAAAGCTAATCCTAGAACCAAGGAGTCAAGAACAAACTTAAATTGCAAGTTCTATTCTGATTAGAAGTTGGAACAGGAATAAGAAAGTGGTACAGAACAAAATTTTGGCTGAAAACTAGGTTATGCAGTTAATGTTCATCTGATTCTCCTAATCCTAATAATAAAAAAAAGTTATATTACTTATATGCATTATGCATGGATCATGGGAACCATGGCCCTAACCAAAAAGAATCATTGTGGCACACATTTTGTTGGTATCCAGACTAACTTCTTAGTCAACCATTTCATCCTAAATTAAATGTTGCTTAAATAGCACATAAAATGCTCACTCCAACCCATTCATCACATAACTCCCAAATTGGTGACCGGTAAAGCTTCACATGACCATCCACAGTGCAAACAGCCAGCAAGCACCTACATTAGCCATCCATATTATAAACATATGTAAGTACAGTAGGATGAACAGATGAGCTTGTACATAAAACTTACACCTAGAGAAGATCATTTAGAATGTCAAAAGTATGTATACCCAGAGTTAGGTGCAAATCCTTGTTGAGACCATGAAATTGATCGGGCACATGGTTCAGTTTCACGTGCTAAGGAAGTGGGCAATAAACATGGCTCCAAGAGATCTGCAAATATTGATAAATTGAAAATTTTAGATCAAACAGAATTAATACACCTACATGGTCTCACTGGGCTTCCTGTTTTTTTCCCACTCTTTGGTGAAATGGCAGTAATGGAAAACTTTATACTCCCTGCATCACAATATAAGGTGTCGTTTAACTTGGCACAGTCATCAAGATCATACTTTGACAGCTAATTTCTCTCATAATATACCGTATGTGGCAACAAAAAAATGATCATTAGAAAGTATTTCTAAATACAAATCCAATGTAACCACTTTTGTTGCTGGTCAAAGTTTGAATCTTAAAATGCATCTTGCCTTGTACTTTGGAACAGATGGAAAAATGCCATGACATTTGTTCAGGAGGTTGAACATGCACTCGTCATAGTAGTTTGAATGAATTATAAGTATAATATGACTAGTAAAACCTAAGATTCCAAAGGTAGGTGTTTATGTTGCAGTAACCCACTAGCTGCATATAAGGAGATGTAACTCTGCTCTGGCTGTGTGAATGAACCCATGGTGAAATCAAGCAGAGGGTGGGTGCAATCAAGCAACAGGATGCCATGACGTAAGCACGGATGGAATCACACCACAACAAACAATTTTGCAATCCTAACCTCGTTGCCAGGGCTCCACCTCGTGCTTAAGAGCGTCTAGGCGAGCGTTTAATGACGTTTTCTTCAAACATTGCTAAAAGTGAAAAGCCAAATAGCAAGACACTTTATTCATTATAGTTCCCAAAGTTCCATGTTATTTTTTACAGCACCACACATTCACATTACAAAACTAATGTCAAGCCAACAAATTTCTGGATACAGTGTATATGAATTAAGTCTTCATTCATTGTACAAAATAATTAACACAAATGTCCAAGTTAAGCAAGTCCTCCGGGAGATGACTAATGCAAAGACCAGTTTTACCTTCTCTCTTAACCACTCCTATAGGAAAAGGGTCACTGCGACGAAGTCCAACCAATCCACGGGGTCCATCAAGCGTAGCTGGGTTCTTGAATATGAAAAAATGGGCATGGTTAGTGCAAGGTGAGGCTTATCCATATTCCATACATAAACTATCATGACCCTGAGAATATGACATATATGTGATCATCTTTGGATTGCACTTACCAGAATAATTACAATGTGACCAGATGCGACAGCCACAAGGTTGTCACTTGACCAAGCAATGGCGTTTGGGTAAGACGGAGAGGCAATCAAGGTCGCAGCTTGGTAATGAGGAGCCATGGCACTAACGCCCAAGCATATCTAGCAGTATAATTAATATAGAACTCTGCAAAAGCAAGGGCAACAGTGGACTTGTTTGGTGCTTCAAATGTAAATAGGATCATAACCATGAAATGTTGAAGTTGCAATTATTAGTGTGGAGGAAGCATCAGGTTCGATCAGAACAACAGCTTAGATCATTAAAAAAAAGAGGGCAGACCCAGTGCCAGAGGCTCTACATGAGTGGGGTCTGGGGAAAGGAAAAATCGAGGCAAGCCTTCCCCCCACAAAATCTGCGGAGAGGCTGCTTCGAACCCGCGACCTGGTGAATCAGTGAGACAGCTCTCACCACTGTACCAGGCCTGCCCTTCAACAACAACTTAGATCATTGCTTAAAATTAATTGATACTAGAAAAATAATTGTTGTGATAAAACATCAAACAACAATAAGAGCCAGAACATGGCGTTGGAGACATCAAAGTATCAAACAATAAGTTGAGCTAAGAGAATATAAAAACGACAATTTCATTCAAAATCACACCTTAACAGACACATCAAGTACTATTCTTCAATTCCACCAATGGTCATGGCCTAGTAATTGTAGGTTGTAAAAACTGTGATATCAGATTACTTGTTTTGTTCTAGTGGCTATGTTATGCGATTGTCCTTGTTTTAGTGGCTTCAAGGTTTTGCGCCCCATATTTAATGAAATTTCAGCTGTATCTGATGAGCTAAATATTCATCTCACCCTGACAAAAACTAACTGCACATTGCACACGGTGAGGATATCATGACTGAACTGACAACATAAGCACTAGGGGCGGACCAAGCAAAGGATATCGTGACTGAACTAGACAAAATAAACACCACGGGTGGACCTAGCAAAGGGACATGCATGTGCACTTAAACAATGGAG